ATCTGTTGATGCAATACAGCAATAAGGTGAGATAACTGAACTAATCAGGTGTTATTTAATGTTTAATGAGGGACAGGGAAGTTGTCAAACATCTTGTAGAACATGTCAAATAAAACAGGAATTATGTGGATGGGCATTATCCTGCTGAAATAGAACACCACCTTCCTATTGCAGGAATGATAGCATAACAGGTTGAATAATTTTCTAGACATGAATTGTGCTATTCAGTGTTCTCTCCACAAACATTAAAAGTAAGTGATTTCAGAGATGGGCTTTGTATATTGCACATAAATACAACATGGGAGAAATTACTAACAACCAACCATCTTTTTACATGAAAGCATAACTTACTCTCATTACTGTGACATTGTGATGAATACTGTAAAATAAGTGAAAGTTTGCCTAGAAGCATGTATTCTGCAAATAAATAATTTCTAACAGTCTATATTGACCAACTTGGTTCTATATTTGCTTTAATCTGTGCTGTGCATGCCTTGCAGTCTGCTACTGCTACCCTTATAATGCATCACTTTTGATATTATGTGACCATCTAGAACCTGGTTTACATGTGTAGGAATGTTTCTGTGACAACTCTTGCCAACATTGAAACATCAACTCATTGTGTCTAACATGGGCAGTAATTCTATGAAATGACAACTTGACTTCTACATCAGAGAAAAGTTTTGTATTAACTTCATTCATCCTGGTCTCTTTTACAATTTAAATTAGAATTATACTGTTTCTAAAAAGTGTCAGAATGATGTAGATATAATATCAGAATACTTACAGCCATATCACATTGAAGCACTAGTTCTCATCACTAAAGTTAAGCAATGTCATGCCTGGTGTGTCCACATGCAAGATAAGCTTAGATATGTAATGTGTGGGTAATGTAATGGATAACAACTTGGAATGAGAAATCTGAAACCCAAGTTCAAATTCCAACTGTGTTCATTACATTCACTTACCCAAATAACCTTGGGCATTCATGAATTGAAGAGACATGATCACCCAAGTGTGTCACATGCACTTCTACCAATATGCATTGGGCCACCTCAGTAGGGTAATGGCCCATTCCTCCCCATGAATTTGGAGAAGGCCTACATCCAAAAAAAAGGACCTTTTTATAAGCTGAGAATAATGTAAGAATATTATAATATAGATTTTTTTTTTCTCTACTGTAATTGATAAGAACATGCCTCAATATGGAGTAATGGTTTGTTAGGGGCTTGTTTTGTTAACTATTATTACTAAATAATGAGTTCAATTCTTCCTATTTCATACAAAATTCAGCATTACAAAACCTAACATGGGTTTGGCATGTCATAAACTCAGCCAGACAGCCAACCAACAACTGACAATATTCCTAATAATGACTAGAGATGGTTGAAAGTGCATTATGAAGTTTGGAGATTTTCTTTTTAAATTTAATCCAGATATCTAACAACTTCTATGCAAACTGGAAAAATATACTAAAAATTAAACACTAACCTTGCTGATCAATTTCATTAAAGTGTATACATGTATGTATATACATATGCATGCCATATTTGGTCAGCAATTGTCCTTTTAAGCATATATTGTTAAAAACAATAGACATCCTATGTTTATTAAATTTAATGATCTTTTTTTTTCTAATGCACAAATATCCTTTATGGATGATTATTACAGTAATATTAGACAGTTCCTTTCTAATAATACTATAAATCTAACTGCAACAAGACTAAAGATAATAAAAGCCATTTACATCCAAGTTAAACAAAATTCATAAATAAAAATAACTAATCTGAGACTCTGCATTCTTGAATACATACAAAAAAAATTCTTACCTGTTGCAGTCACATGACTTGTCACATTTAAGCTGCATTCGATTTAATTTTCAAAAAATAACAACACTTTAAAAAGGGATACAATTTACTTGTTAAAATAGATGATTTTCTTTTCTCACACCCCTATAATGACTTGTGCGTCAAAAGCTTAGATTACACAACATGAATTTTGGCCAATTTATCCTCATCCAACAACCATATTTGTGAAAGGATAATCATACATTCATTATTTTTATATATACCTTAAAAAAGAAATGGCTTTTATGGTATAATTGAATTCAAGTCAAATTGTGCATCAGTTAAATTTTGCACAGCCATGCCAAATTTGAATATGCCATTTTTTTTTTTTTTTTTCATATCTTCAAATATATTGTGTCACTTTGCATCACTTAGAATGAATTTAAAGTTAATGTATTCAAATACTTTTTGTTAGTCACATTCCAAAAATGGTTACCTTAATGCACTGATAATGTTAACATGACTGTATTTCAAACTCAGGTCTCTAAGTGTCTCTACTTTGATTTATTACCATATTGTATATTCTTACATATATACTACTGTCTGCTTTTTAGAGTTTAATTGTTCTTGCTTACAAGAAGTTCATCTAAATTTTGGTCCAGATCTGAGCTGGTGGACTGACTTCTTCAAATTGGATGAGCTTTAATCATTTCCTCACAATTATGTTTCAAATTAACTTTTTACTTGATTTTATCTGTAAGAGCTTATTTTTCAATAAGATAGCATTAATTCAAATACATTTTTTTTGTTTATTATAAATTGATTTTTAGAATTGTATATTGAATATTTATATAGCATCATTTCTATCTTAAACTTGTTTATCTTAGGTTAAAAACTAGATATAACCACACAAATTTGCCCTCCACAATGGTTATCCTTGAAAAATATAACTTGGAAATAAAGATTTGGGGACATAGTATCAAATTTCATGAAAACAATTTTATTTATTTTATTTTTTTTAAATGCCATGTCCCTTCAGGATATAGGCAATCATGACTCTCCTTAAATACTTTTTCATTTTTTAGATTCTTATAATTTGTTAGGTTTTTGTGGATGTAGTTTATAATGTAATGAGAAATAGTAGTGTATAATGATTGTAAGTCAGTGTGTGTGTGTGTGTATATATATATATATATATGAATGAGAGAGAAGGATTACAGATCAGCAAGCAAGCAGTAAAATCAGCTGGTTATCTAATATACTTAGATTTTAGATAATGAAATCATTATCTTTGAAGTTAAATCACACTTCTATTTCTCTGCTTGATATTTACTCTATCTTCATATGTTAATTTTGGGGAGAAGTAATATATATATATATATATATATATATATATATATATATATTATATATATATATATATATATATATATATATATATATATATATATATAATGAAAGGGATCTTTTAAATGCATTAGTTACTCACTGTAACAAAACTGACCACAATTTTGATATAAAAAATGCTACTTTAATTAAAAGAAAAAACAATTGACTAAGACAAAATGCTTAGAAAATGTTAGATCATCCACAGTAAATTCGTGCCCACATTCTTGACAGATCTTCTATTATAACAGTGTGAGATATATTTAATAACAAAAATGATGTCAACACAAACTAAAAGAAAAAGAATATAAATGAAATTGGCTAGATTTTGTACCTGAAACACATAAAAAAAATATCCTTAATTTTAATTTGTGCGCATATGTAGTAAATTCAACATAAACTTAGTCCAATGAAGTTCTAAAGGACGGAACACAAAAACTTTTTCCATTGTTATACTATGTGCGTTTTTATATATATATATATATATATATATATATATAAGCTGGTTGCTTGTGAGTGCAGCCATTTTGTTATTACAAGTGGATTCACTGCGCTCGGCTCGGCATTTAAGCTAGCCCCTTGTGGGGAATTCTTGGTTTGGCCATCATCACTATAGTTAGGGAGGAGTAAATCCAATAGGCATCAATAAATTACAGAAGAACTCAAAATTGATTGTTGCATTTAACTACTGAATTAATGTTTAAGCTTACCTTTTAAAAGTATAACAATAATTCTTCTGTTGCCACTTAATTTAAAGACAATTTGATGTATGTAGATCCTTATTTTCCATACAAATAATTATTTTTATTTCATGGGTGACAGAACAGGGGACAATTTATAAGATAAAGGTTAGCTATAAGATATAACTAATTCTAATTTCTATTTTCCCATCTTTACACTATATTAATTTTATCTTTTGACAAATTCTTAAATCATAAAAATACATGGAAATTACCCTTTTTACAGATGTTCCTTCCAAATCAAGACTTTTACACAAACCTTTAAATTTTTTAATGTTTGTGAATCATTGAAATAAGTTTCATCATTATTAATAAACTCGTGTTAATTGATAAATTCTAAATAAAATTAAATTTTTAATATTTTTTCTGATTTTAAATTTGAACATTACTTACAAGATTGCCTGATATATTTAAAATTACTCTCCTTGTTTCCTAACACTTGTCAAATAATCTTTCCATGGAAAATTATATATATATATATATATATATATATATATATATATACACACACACACACACACACACACACACACAATTTTAGAAACTGTATTTGTAAAAATCTTAGGCTGATCAAAATTCATAAATTCTGGTATTTTGATCAATTATGTATTTAACAAAAAATGAAATTTATTCCAATCTTCCTAAAAATTGGATAAAGAAATAAATTTTGTTTCTTTGACACTATTTCACTTTTTATATGATGTTCAAATTGACCAGAAAGTAACATTTAGAAAATGTTTTACATAGTAACCTTGTGTAAATGATGATTTAATGATTCATTTTCCTTTTTAATTGTTATGCTAATTTATTAGACCAATGTTAATTAATTTTTTTCTATTATTATTTTTAGTAAAAGATAATCCAATTTCATTATTGAATATTGTTTATCTTTTATAATGGTTATTATTATTATTATTATTGAAAGCACCAGCAGTAAGTAACAAATATAATATAGGCTAATAGTAATGCTTCAAATTTCATTCAGACTATACATAAAAATTAAATATATGACAATTATTATCAGACAATATTATATTTATTCTGTGCATTTCTAGTTTTCTGATATTACATTTTCATATTTTTACAGGTTCCTCAACCCAATGTACATCTGTACAATGTGGGTGGAAAGCACAATGTGTTAACTCTTCATGTGTCTGTAAACTATCTGGTTTCCACTTGCACAGCAACAAAAGAGACTGTGAGAACCGTAGGTTTTTTTGTGGGTTTTCTTTTTAATTTGTTTTTTATTATAGAATATTTGTCTTCTGAAGCAGCTAGCTATAAGCTAGACTTTCCTATTCTAATGTTTTCTTTCTATATTCTGTTTAATTCTATGTATACATATTTTTGTGGATTTCTTTTTATTTTCAGCAAACCTGTTTCAATTGTTTTAAATGGGTCATAATTTTTTTTTTATGAAATTTTATTTAATTATGTATTAGATGAGTACATAAAAGCATTTAATTTTTTCATTGTTCTTAATTCTTCATATGTTAGAATTTTTTGCAGAGATTTTAATAAGAAAATCTTAATTCATATGGTGCAAAGAAAGTAGTCTTTATACTTTTTGGTTTTTGTACATTAAAATTGCACTAATGAAAATGGTTTTGCTTATACATATGTGCAGTTATTTACTATTCCATGTATGTGTATAAACTGAACAATAGTCAAATGATAATAAAGAGAAGAAAATAATCAAGGAGAAATAGAAGAAAGAAGAAACCTAATTTTATAATGCTTATGTATAATGCTACTTTTCTTTAGCATTTGTACATTAAAAACTATAAATTAGGAAAAATATTTGGCTATTATCAATAGAAGCATGTATTGGTTGGTTGATCAAAGAGTTTATTCTGTTTTTTATCATTAGAGAGTTTGAAGAGCATTTAGTTAACTTATTTCAGAAAGATTATTTTTGATTGTATTGTGACAGCTGTCATATTATACATGGTTTGTTTTTTGTAATAAAATTAATGTTAAATAAAAAATGATTTTATTTTATTTTATTTAAAAAAATTAAACAGACTTTTTTTAATCAACACAATAGAGAAGATATTCTGTATTTGCATGTACTATATATATTTTACTTTATTGGCATTAAATGAATTGAAGAAAATTATTTATATTTTTTTAGATACATGCATTATTAAAAATTGTCTGGAATGCACTTCTGAAAAAAAATGTTCCAGGTATGTACTTTTGTCAAGAAAGCATCAATAAAAGTATATCTAAACTGTCTTTTGTTCTCATGTTATAACCATTTTCTTTTATTTTACTCTACAACTATATTGATAAGTTTATTAAAAATAGTTACATTGTGTCCTAAAAAAATTGACATCGTTTAAAATGTGAATATCTAAGTAGCTACATGTCCCAGGCAAACAAAATTAAACAGGCTGAACAGTGAAAGATTAATTTATCAAAATTCAAACAAGATATTCAAAGGGATTTAGATTTTATAACTGGTTTCACAAAGCTTCAATATGCATACCACCTGTGACACAACATACATCAAGTCAGTAGTCCAGTTTCTGCTAAACATGCTGTAGCATGTCTTGCATAACATTCTCCAGCACCTCCGTGATTCTCTACTTAGGTTCCTCTAGGCTTGTAGGAAAAAAAATCACAAGGTGTCAAGTCAGATGAACATGGTGGCCATTTCAACAACATATTGTCATTATCACTGGCATGCATGATCCATCTTCTTGGTAGATTTTCATTGAGATAAGTTTGCGCAGTCAACTTAGTTTTTACACATTTTGTTAAAATTTGAGAGCATTTGAGCAAGAATTGGCTATGTTATAAGACTACAAAATGATGTCAGTTTTATTTTTGGGTGTATATGAAGATAAATATATCTAATAAAAATAAAAACTACCTGATACCTCCTTAGATTTTTATGTTCTATGTCTCACCATTTAGAAAATAGCAACTGAGATGCTCCTGGTGCAGTTAATGAATTATAGGCATAATAAATGAAACAGAAACTCATTCATATTCATCAATGCTTCTTGTAATGTTGTTTCTGTAACTTAGTTTTTCTTCTGCATTTAGCTATTGTCTTCTCTCTTTTTCCTACAGATGTGTCAACTTTATTGATGAGGCTAGCCATGAATGTTTGGATACATGTACTGGTGTTTCAAGGATTGTTGAAGAAGGCCCAATTCAAGGGAATCTGTGTAACTGTAAGTAATGTCCATATATTATCCAACTTAATCAAAAGAACAATTAATATGACATCAGAGTTCTAAGTGTCTACTTTAGTATAATCTTCACCTCTAAACCTATCTGAGATCATCTAAATATATTCTTTACTGATGCCAAATCATACAAGCTTAGTAACAGTAGTGGCGTCCGGTTGATCAAAAAAACATCAGTGATTAATTTATGCTCTGGGTGATCAGAGATTGTTGCATTGACCAATCTTTGTTAGTTAATTTTGTTTTCTCATTTTTACTCAATACACTTATTTTTTTAAATCCTCATGATAAAAGTTAAATATAAGCTTACGACTAAATGAATGATATTGTAATGAATTTGCTTGATCTTGATAAAAACTGAGGTCACAGGAGTTGAAAAAACTGCCAGAACACAGTTTTGACTTTGGTGTACACCTGCTGACATGTATATGCATCTAATGCTTAAGAAAAGTGATAATCAGTAGGAGACAGGCTTGATGAATAGATAGAATGCCATGTGAAATATGAGGTCTTGTGTTATCCTGCAGTAGGATAGGCCTCCTTCTGTTCACCAATATGGGCCAAAATACTTGCTACTTTTAATGCATCATTTTCAAATTATGACAACAGGATTTCACACTGATGATTAGATGGGGTTGCATGAAACTAATTGATTACTCTATTATAGCATGACCATATGGTTAGGGTGAAGATTTGGTTTTGGGAAGGTTTAACTGGAAGCAATTTTGTCTAAAGAAAGTTGCATTTTTGATTATCATATAAAAGCCACTTTTCATCAACATTAAGCACATGATCAAGAAAAGGGTAATTTTTTTTTTTTAATTTTTTCTAAATGAACAAGCAAATCAAGTGTGAATCCATACTAGTAGCTGATCATTGGTTAAATCCTAGGTTATTCACTTATGAATTTTCTTCACTTTGCCAATTTATACTAGATGTCTTCCAACTATTGTGTGGACTTTGCTATCAGTGCCTGAGAATTTGTTTCAGAATGAGCATCTACTGCTACCTTCTCTTCATCATTGTCAAGTGATGATTTGTATCCATGACCAGATTCATCTTAGCAATTCAGATCACTAAAAACAAATTTGGGGGAACAATGATACATGATCATTTTGAATTTGACTCCAACCCCCAAACAATGTTGATATTGCAAGTGACTTATGTGACACAATTTGAATCCATGAGACATAATGACATAAAAATTTCAATTATTCATCTTTGCTTTGACGTCTTATAAAAAAAATGTAATCAAACACTTCAAACACCTAAAAGGGGAAACAGAGCTTTAAACTGATATAAGTATGTACATAAAAAAAAAGGGAATGTAAAAAACAAAATAAATGAAACTAATCACATTAATGCAAATCTAATAATAGTAATATGTACTTATCTCCAATCATCTTTTTTTTTAGGTATGAACATTGTAGTAGATATAGTAGATTCAATATTGCATTACAAAAGTTTTACATATTTTCTTTTTAATTATCATTTTAAAAGAATAGAAATAAAGTTGTAATTTATTATTTCTGACTTATAACGCAACTAAAAGAGGATTTTCCGTTTATACTGGACATCCGATTAGAGTAAAACAAAATGTAAAAAGAAATATCATCTTGTTCTGTTAATTATGACTACCATTTTTCTTAATAACTGCATTGTTTTCAGTAGTAAATTTATTTTCACATTCCCTTGATTGCAAAAAAAATATAATGAACTTAATTATCAGATGTAATTCATTCAATGTGTTTGAAATGACTGGCTGTAAATATACTTTTTAAATATTTTATGTTTATTTACAGTACACTCTAAAGTGTGTATATATATATATATATATATATATATATATATATTATATATATATATATTTGTTTAATATTTATTTTTACAAAAATAGTTTTATTCCTTACAAAGAAGAAATTTGTTTGTAGCATTTAGCTGAATTACAAATATTTGAAAACTGAAAAAAATGAATCAACTTAAAATAACATTTATCACAAATGAACACAATATTTTGTATGCTATTTTACTGTAATTGGATGTCCAGTATAAAGGAAAAAAATCCTCTTTTAGTCATAAATAATAAATTACAACTTTAATGCATACTACTAAAAGATTGATAATTTGTAGCATCTTCTGTTGTCTTCATATTTGTCTACAGTCACTTTTATATAGTTTTGTTTGTAAAGATCACCGATCAATATTCAAGTACCTTTGATAATATAAAAACATTTCAAAGAAATTTAAAATAACTAAAACTGATTTCTCAGTAACACAAATTAAGTTAGCCACAATATTATAGGTTTGATAGGTAGGTGGGTAGAATTACATGCATATATTTAACAACTAGTAGTAAAATAATGTTTCTCTTTCTATTTAGGTTTCTAAATTGTCAGTATACTTGTAAAAATATGAGTTTCTGAATTATTTTTCAAAGAAATCTCCATATAGATTTATTTTCTTTATAAACAAATTAATCATATAAAGCCAGCTTATGAATTATTGTAACAAAAGTAAATCCAGTACTTGTATTTTCAGTATTATTGTCTGTACTTTCAGATAGTCCTGATATTGAAAGCGAAAATAGGGATTGTTTAGGAATAAAATTTGACACCGGGCTGAACTTTCAAATTTGATGATAAAGCTTTATAAGACTGGTGTATGATTAATCTTGTTCAACAAAATTTACACAACACTTTTGTGAATCCATACTTGCTCTGTCAGATTTTTAAAGTTACAGTAGGTTGTTATGGAAAGAGGTCTCCTGGTCCTTTTATTTAATCTGAGTTGTTTATCTACAAGAGACATTTGCTCTCCTTATGAACAAAGTTTCTTAAGAAGTTTATTTGTAGAAATATAGGGAAAATATTTATATTCTAAATAATTAACATTTCTTGAAAGATTCCTATTTATAATATCAATTGTCTTTGTCTTAATGATCTAAAATTAGTAAAAAGAAAAAATGGTGGCTAAATAGAAAATCAATCTTAATATATAAACAAGTTTGAGTTTGAATAATGTCTATCATGTATCATTTTTTTATTGATTGCTCAATCCCTCTTGGTTTATTTAGGTTATATGCTAATTTTTTTTAATCTGCCTTCTTACAGGTAGTTCATTATTTACATATTGCTGACATAACTACTTTTAGGCTGTATAAAAATAACCAGACTAGATACATTTTGATAAGAGGCTAAAAGTTAGATTTAATTAGAACTTGATACAAGAAATGGTAATTAAACTGTGTCAGTTTCATGTCTAGAGGAATTTTTTTAATAAGTTTTACTCATTATTTTACACTCTTTAAAAAGATTAATAATATTATCAAAATTTCAATAAAAAACAAACTTTTGTTGTATATTCACATTTGAATTGTTTCCCTCCATTGGAAAAACAGAAAACATAAGTAAATCAATCACTTAAAATTAAAAATCAAAAACTGAAACTTTCTTGATGAAAAAAAAATTTTGTTTTCTAATTTCTAATTTTAAATGATTGTTTTCTCCTTTTCAGCAAAAGGTAATACAAATTTACAATTTAATTCTTCTATAAAAAAAAGAAATACAAAGCCACAAGTAAAATGTCAACATGCAATAAAACTTTCTTTTTAGCTTTAGACAACTTATTAATATGTTAAAGCTTGTTTTTCAGTGATACTTTCAAGATTGTTTCCAGAATGTTTTTTGGGAGAGTGTAAAATATAAAATAAATCACCTAAATAGTTTTATAAAATGGTATTTTTCTCTTTACAATATCCAGAGATTACCAAAAATAATTATCACCTAACATTGCTTATAATAATTTATACTTTGAATTGTTTAATTGTTAAAAATGTTTAATAAAAAGAATTACTTTCATGTCAAATGTAAACTATGTATAAATGTTTTTAAAAGGAAAATGAATTAAATCGACAATGATTTGGTTCCTTCTAGTGACCCCTTTGAATGAAAGTTTATGGATTGGACTTGGGGCTGGTTCTGCTGCTGGCATCTTCCTTTGTATTGTGATTCTTCTTATTTTATGGTCCTGTCAAACAAAGAAAAAAATGTAAGAATTTCCTTTTCTTTTTTTTCATGTAAAATTTAATAAAAATATTTAAATTTAATTTTATGAGTTTATTTCAAGTACTATAAGATAAGGACTTTTGAGCTGCTGGAGAGAGCATCTAATATTACTTCCATTAAGGGAGGGAAAATGTAAAGTGTAGATGATAGGGGTATTTTTTTATTTGTTCATTTCAACATTGATAATTTCTTTAGGTGTAATTCCATAACCATTTCTCTTAACTAAATTTTCTCAGATTTCTACAAACATGTTGGGGGAGGGGGGGAATTAACATATGATTCAAATAATTTTTTTTATATTGAAAAAAAATTTTACTTTCATAAACTTTGACTGCACTGTTTTCATTGATAACTAATGAAGACACTTAATATGTCAAAATTTTAAAGTCATTAATCATCATTGGCAATTATTTTTGTCTGACCCACATTCAATGCATCAGTTATTTCAATATAAAATAAAAGTTTATCAGTTTTAATTAAAAAATATATTCATAATATTTATTCTGATTTATTGTAATTTTATTGAAATCTTCATTTTGATTTATCACAGAACTATTTCAAACTTATGTAAGAGATTTTTTTTGACATGACAAAACAAAAAAATTGAAAATTGCTTACTTCTAATAAAATATTTTGCTGACTGAACTCGTAAAATTTAATGAAGAAAACTATTTTTGTAAGCTTTTAAAGTTACAAATAACTTCATCAGAGTACAGTTTTAAATTTTCATTGGGCTAGACTGTTGCTAATAATTGATGAGACTATACTTCTAGATGCCTATTCTATCATAAATACAAAGTTATTACCAGCTGTGATTGCAGCAGCTTAATATTTTTTAAGAATTGCAATTATCTTTTAATCTATTTCCAACTGAAAGAAAAATGGAACACTGTAAAATGCTGGACTATTTTTTTATCATGTAAAAAAAATAATTGATAGTATTAACAAATTTGGAATCTCAGAAAAATAAAATTTTTGTTAAATTTTAAATAAAGAATGCTCTTTCAAAAATTCCACATAGGTTATTTTCTGAACAGAATGATTTTTAGTAAGTTAGTAATTCTCTAATAAAAAAAAAAATAGAAAGAGAGCAGCAAGAGAGATTTTCTTTTACTTTGTTTTATCATGAAAATCTATTTCAGCATTTTTTCTCCAAGAAGAACAAAAAAAATAAACTTTAATTTATGCCTTAATATGTTTTCATTTGAGTATAAATACTAAGATTGTTTGGTCAGTGATGAATATTTTAACTCTTTAAAATCCAGTTTTTACCAACCAGATGTACTATCCTTTGCTTTTAGCCTTCATGACTTCTATGAGGCATTTAGTTGAGGCGTGAATGTTATCATTTGCATTGATGAAGTTCTTAAAAGATGAGCAGAATTCTTAATATCATTATCAGATTCTACATTCAATTTCTCTCAACATGTTGCTTTCTGAGTCAAATTCAGTGATCCAAGATTTTTCATTAGCAAATATTGTAAATATATCTAATTGCTGAGAAAATTAAAACAAACCAATGATAAAGCAGGAGATTTTGTTTAATTTTCCAGGAGGTTATCAATGCATGCAAAAATGAAAAGGTAAAAACTCAGCAGTGGTATTTTAGGTGCATAAATAATGTGACAATGAGTTGAGTGGCATAGAATATTTACAAAATCCTTTATTTTACCTAAAGAATTCTCCAAATGCTTTTATTTTTTATATTTAGACAAGAAGTTAAAAGCTGATATATTGAATTCTTCCAGCTTTTACACATCTTAGCTCATTTCTTTAAGATAACATTAATATTCATTGATAAAGTAGAAGATTGATAAGTAGTTTGAATTTACATCTCAAATGTTTGGTTTTACTCTGGTTTCACTATTTAGATGAAACCTTTTGTAAAGGTTTCATTTAAATGATGAATATTCATTTTTATGATGAATTCAGAAACAAATTTCAAAACCATTATTTAAAAATTAAAAATTGTTTACATAAAAAATAATTTCAAATAAACATTTGTAGTAGAAAATATTAGACAAGAATCAGACAGAATGTTTAAATCAGCTACAAACTCTACAGTAAAGAACTGTAATAAAGAAATAGATGGAAGGTATAACTTCTAAAATTCAAATTGTGCTAATTGAGAAAACAAGTAATTTAACAGTGCTTTACTTTTAAAACTCTCACATCATAAAAAAAACATTGTAAAATGAGTATATATCAGAATTTATTTGCATTTTTACTTTCCAGGGGCCATATTGATTTTGTAGAAGAAACTTCAAAAAATACAAATTTGCCAAATGAAAAGATTAGAAAGGTAAGAATTGAGGTATTAAAATTTTGAAAATTTTCTTTAAAAAAAAAAAAAAAAAGAGATTTCAGCTGATTCACTTTGTTTTTTTTTTTTCTAACTAATATTGTTGCAATTTCATCAATGTACTTGTGAAAATGATTAACCACAATTTCACAATTTTTGTGGCCTTTTTTTATCTAAAAAGTATACAATTGTTAACAAATATAACATTTTATCGAGTGAGTTTTTTGTTTATTTATACAGTCAATTAAATAACGGTTAAGATAACTCATGAAATGTAATCATCTGATAATTAGTGTACATTGTAATTATGAGACAGACTGTGATAATGACTTAAAACATCTGCTTTTATTATTTGTGTATAACATTTTAGCTGATTTATTTTCTACTCTTCATCAATTGTTGTAAACCATATTCACTGAGCTTCAAATGAATTCAAATAAAACTTTTTATTTGAAAAGGGAACCAAATATACTAATCTGCTCAGCAATCTTTTCTATTTCTAAAGCCCTGAGCTGAAATTACACTCTGTATGCCATTATTAGTAATGTACTATGTATATTTTAAACAATGCAACCACAATCATCTCACTACATGATGGTCACACCTTCTCAATGTTCTGACACAATAAAATGTCCAGTCCATTTATTGAACTCATTATACCAAGTATTGCTAATTGAATGTGAGAAACAATGCCTTTTTTATCCAATAGATCAAGAAAAATTAAATTTGCAGATTAGAATCATGTACTTCTGAATTTCATTTGAGGCCATATATTAAAAACAGAATGAGAATAACAGGTTCTTACAAATATTTTTTTAAAAAAGTGCATAATTTGCCCATTATAATTTTTTCTGGGTACTATGGATTAAAGCTAAAAATTTTACTTTTGGTGCAGGTTAGTCTGAGTTTTCTGTAACATTCATAAACTTTGTAGAAAAGAAACATCAAATTGGGCCAAAATCAAAGTCAATACTGAAGTTGACACACCATATATACTTTGACATTTCTAAAAAAAAAAAATTAGCTTTCATAAACTTAAAGAGAATTATTAGAATTATTATGTCATGTTTGTAAATTTTAAGTTAAATTTCATTTTTTATAAGTCAAAATGAATATATTGCACAGCTGCCTAAAAATACTTAAACAATATATATCTAAACCATTTTATTTATTTTATTTTTCAGATTCCAGTTTTTGACAATAAAGGATATGGTAGGTTTCTTAAGAGTTGCCTTGTTACAAAACGTCTCACTCAACAAATTATAATACCTAAAATGTATGAATATTGATAAATTTTACTCATGAAGAGCTATTTTTTCATGAAATTATCCCCAGTTATTTTGACTTCTGTCAAGAAAGTAGAAATTATAACAAAATACAAGTGGCTTATAGAAGTGCATCAAAATATTACAATATTTATTTGAGCATGTGTTTGTTACAAAAACTGAAATTGCAAGTAAACAAATGAATCACTTGTATCCATAAACAGTGATCTACTAGAATGGTGCAAAAAAATTTTATTTTTTCTGTTCTGAGGTTAATTATGCTATTAATATAAATTCTAATAATTTATATTCTATTGAAATGTTGATAGTGGCAACTCGTCATTTTTGTTATCACCAATAAAAAGTAAGACATTTTATTTAATATCTTTTAGAAACATACACTTAAAAGAAAAATCCTTTATTTGACATTTATTTAAACAGATTTTCTATCATGATAAATGCTCATTCTCTATCTATATGAATAAATGCAAAATTGGTGCTCAATTATCCCACAAATTCTGAGGTTAAAAGGTCCCAACTCTACTTTATAGCAATTTACACACTGTATTTACTATGTCCCCCACTAGGACGAGATGTGACACAAGGTCTATTTTTAGGTGGGGACCCGAGCGCATACACCCGGGACTGGAACAAAAATTCCCCTCAGCCCCCACAACCGTCGGTTGCGCTGGCCTTGGTGCGAGCACCGATCCCTCCTTCTGGTGCAATGGGAGGGCGTGGCCTCGGGCAGCTGTTCCCCAGGGCTGGGCACCTCTCAGTATAATTTTCTCATTTGCCCCTCTGTCCTTTGACGGAGAAGCCCCTGGGCGCACTCTGTCCAAGGACAGAGATGCAACTGAGAGATAAGTAGATGTGTACCTACTCAAAAAGAGGAAGGTACACAGCAATTTACACGGTATTTACTTGACCACCCACTGAGTCAGGTTGTGATACAAGGTCAGTTTTTAACGTGGGGACCCAAGTGTTTTCACTCGGGCCGCTGGTCATAGCTTGCCCAAGCTGGTCTAAGCTAGTCATAGCTGGTCTTGGCTTGTTATAGCTGGTCCAAACTGGTCAGTGCCGGTCCAAGCTAGTCTTAACCGTGATACCACCAGCACAGGGATGGAGCCCCTGTGACTGGTAAGTGTCCAAAGAGGAGTTTACACGGTAACACAGCAATTTACACACTAAAAGCTCAATATCTGAGTTATATATTATCTCCTTCTAGGCAATATCACTTTTCAGGTTTAACTAATTTGCTTATTGATTTTAAATAGGTATATTTCATTAATTAACTGTTCTTCATTACTGTTCTTTTATTCGAGGATTTATATCAAAATTAACTGTTTAGGAATATTGTCTTATATAGTGCAGAAAACTGTTTGAAATTTGCATTTTACTTTCCTTAACTATAACAAGCCTGCCCTGACACACCCAACCAATTAATTTCTTCTGATTTTACAGTCATATTCTTTGAACAAATATATTGAATGTCTACAACCCCTTCAACATTTCATAAATAGTGAACATTAATCCCATAAAAAAAATAATTTTTCTTAGAAAAATTACCAGGTTATTTTTCTAAGGTAAACATTTATCTAACATCCATAATTAGCATACAGAAGTTTTTTTAGAAAATTACAGTGTGAAAATTTGACAAACTACATTCTACCAAAATGGACTTTTCTGAGTAAGTAGAACAAGTAAAAAAAAGTAAACAATATTTCATATAGAAACATATCCCCCCTCCTCCGAAAGAAAATATAAAAATGCTTCCTTTTTAATTAATTTATTTTTAAAAAGTCTTAACACAAATAAGCTAATGACTAATTTACATACACTGCTTAAAATATCTTCTATTAAATGATTGTCGTCTTCTTTTAATTTTAATTAGAAATCTATTCAAAATTACCAGTTAAATGTCAAAAATCTATTTTTTTCTTCTTGATATTAATTTCCACTGGACTTCAAGCAAAAACTTTTTTGTTGTTTTCTGGCATGTGTTTTCTATTATTATATCTGTGAAAATACTTTGAAAGGACAACTTTGGTTTAAAAATATTCTAAATCCACCGAAGTTTTTGCAAATCTCTGTTGTAAAAAGAGGACATGTATTTATTTATTTACTTTTTTTCTTTTTAATAAATACCTGTATGTTTTTCAGTAGTAAATGTAACTAAAATAAAATATTAAGAGGTTTAAAATAATTACTGCAATATTTTACAATATTAATGTTTACATTTTTAAGAAGATACTTGCAATTTTAGACATATTGAAATTTTTCAACCTTTTTAAACAAAAATTATAAACAAATTTATTTTTACTTTATATAAATTTCGTATATTTTCCATATGAAGCGAACTATCTGTAAAAATTTTATTTTATCTGTGGGATCATATTGAAAAATGTTTTTTGACCACTAATATGAGAGTAGAACTCAATGGAGATGGGACAGCAAAGGAATTTAAAGACCTTTTAAAAATTGGAAATGGAGAAATTTCAATTGATCATGATGAAGAAATCTGCTTTCCTGAACGTTTCAGCACTCTGGTTGAGAGCTTTGACGAATTAATTTTTAAAGTATACCCCAATATAGTAGATAACTTCCAGAATACAGATTGGTTGTGTGAAAGAGCAATTTTGGCTCCCAGAAATAAAACAGTACAGATCATCAATCAGAAGATTCTGCAAGATATCCCAACAGAAGAAAGGACATACCTATCCAATGATACAACTGTGGATCCAGATGAAGCAGTTAACTTCCCTATTGAATTTTTGAATTCTTTGGATCTTCCAGGAATGCCATCACACAAGTTGGTATTAAAACAAGAAGTACCATTAATGCTGCTAAGAAATCTTGATCCTCCAAAGTCATGTAATGGTATATGTCTTTGGCATATGCCCTAGTCGACGAGTAATTTATAATGCGATCATATGCTGACCAGGAGATATATACATTTATCATATCTGTGGAGAGATACGGGCTATCTCTCCCAGACCATGACAAATGGACAATTAGTAAACAAAAATATTTTAAAGAACACTGTTCGATTAGGATAATCAAACATTAATCTTTTCCCATGTTCGCTTCGGTTTCAACACGAATACTGATACACAATTCAAGGATGAACGATAAGGCGTAATAAATTTTGGTATAAGAATTTTAATATGTACATATACACAAAATATTAAAATAAAAGAAAAATATAAGCATGAGTAAAGCATCCGACGACCAGAATCTCAAGACTTATGTTGAGATACCAAAATATGCCCAAATCCAAGTGGATTCGACTGAACCCGAACGGATAAAAAAATAAGTATGAATAACTACGAATGCAGAAATCAATGCATAACCAAAAGACATGGGATAGGATTTACATATTTCTATTTTGACATGTGGAAAGGTGTATGTGAGAATATAAAGTTTATGGATGCATGTGTATCTTTCTAACACGGATCCAAAATATATAGTTACTTATCTTTATGTTCAGTTCTCTCTTTTACTCATTGTCCTTTCTTTTCTCTCTCATGTTTCCTCTTTTCTTTCTTTCTTTCTTTTTCTTCACACAATTCAGCTTGCAACAGAGATATATACTTTCTTCTCTCTGATCTTCTCTTTTCTTTCTTCAAACGTAGGCTGTATTCTCAGCGTACAAATTTCCTTGCGTCTTCTCTGATAAATAACTCAATTTATCTTCTTCAATTTGGAGTTAACAAACAGAAATACATATCCTTATATTTCCTATCCGGAGTTGCTTGGGATGAATCGGACAAGTTGCATCATTACCAAAATGAGTCTCATCTTTCTGTTCATAAGTTATCAGCGCTTCGATTTCGAGTCTTTCTCCTTCAAAGACAAGACAGCAACTGACTTCCAAGTAATTTTCTACTTCCCACGTGTCCTGCGTTTTGGCACGAACTCCAGTTCCTGCTGCTTCATGACCTTACATCAGTCCCCTGTCTTGATTCTGTCTAGACATCTGTTGCTACGGGTAATTGGGTCAGTCAACCTCTTGACTTGCTTTCCCAAAATGTCTCGAGACTTCCACGTGACCTATTCTGTTGTCAGGTGGAGATTAACCTTAATATATGCGTGTATGCGCTATCTGCATTCATCACAGTCTTATTATGAAGAAAATGTTACCTCACTTATTGGAAACTCTTATTATAACTGGTCAAGGGAAAGGTTGGACTGTACTGATTCCAAAAATTTAATTGATTCTAACAGATATGCCTTTTGATTTTAAACAGTTGCAATTCCCAGTCAGAGTAAGTTTTGTAATGACTATTAATAAATTACAAGGTTAATCAATGAAAGTTACTGGATTTCATCTTATGCAACCTTGCTTTTCTCATGGTCAATTATATGTTGCCTGATTGGAAGTGGAAGGAATTTATATATATTTGCTCCAAATAAAAACAAAAAATGTAGTTTATCCTGCTGCATTACAGTAAGAATTATTTAAGAAAAAAACTTTGTTTTGATTTCAATTTTTTCACCATTTATGTTTTTCATTCATGCAAATACATGTATTTTATTCAGTTTCACTGTTTCATTTGTTTAAAAATGGCTAAAATTCTAATGTTTAGCTATCTGAATAAATACAGATGTTTTCATCTTTACAACCAATTTATGAATGAAATTTTCATTTAAAATTTTTGTTTCAAAGATTTCATGTAATGAATATGTCTTACTTTGCAAAGTGATAGCAAGCACGTAAAGCCTGCTAGTTTATAAGTTACATATTATGATAATGCATATCATTTCAGCCTTAGTAACATGATGAATATTACTCTGCTGTGACTAAAATTATGAAATTGTTTTTCTTTTAATGAACTCAAACATCCTTTTTTTATTTTTTAGAAACTGAAGATGTAATTGTTGAAAATAATGTTATCGATGAACATCTCTTCCTTTTTGAATTGGAAAATATGCGTATACATAAAACTACACTGGAGGAGTTACTTAGTCAAGTACGAACTCGTTTAAGAGCAATGGACTGTGAGGATACCAGAGTACCTACCTACAAGTTAGTGTCTTAACCAACTTCTTAATATACAATGTATGTCATTAGTTAGATTGTGTGTATAAAAAGTTGACTTACTACAAGTCATTTATTTACCATAGCTCCACCATGATATGTAGCTGATATCTCACTCTAAGCAATATTTCTGCTTTACAATAGAGTATTTATATTAGAATAAACAAATGTTTCTTCTGCTAGATTACTGAATTGGCTTTACCCTAATTTAAGTATACTCTCTACATTTGAAAGAGGTTGACTTACAAAATAACTTTTAAGCATTAAAGTATTTTCTTTTTATTGCAGAGGTGTAATCCATCAGCTATGCAGAGTACTTGGCTTACTGAACAAGGAGAATACATCTAATCCTCCATCTGATGCTCTTGGTTTGCTTGAATGGGCAAAACAAATGCTAAATGACTACTATGAGCTGCAGCAGGTATATTAGAAATTTCTTTTCTAATTAGGAACATCTTTGATTAATTACAGCATGAAAATAAAGTATAAGAAGTATATAATGTTTTTTTTTTTGTTTTTTTTCATGAATAAGGAAAGAGTTATATTTCAAATTTCTTTAATGTGAATTTGTACTGACAGGTTTTATTAAACCTGCAGTGAAAACTTGATCCCATATTTTCCCACTAAACTATACAATATCAAGAACAATATTGGTGAAAAATGTATAACAAAGTGGTAAAAGTTTTCTTGTGACACATTTCATCCTTTACAACTTCATTCAGCTTGATGAAGTCCTAAAGGATGAAGCATGTCAAAAAGAAAACTTTTTCCACTTTGTCATACATATATCAAATTATACAATAAACTAGAACAGTCACTAATAATAATGGTTATATGAGTATGTCTGTTCAGTAAAGCAAAAACACTATTAGGACTTTTGCTGCAACTGAAAAGATATTATTACCAATGTCTTGCAAATGCACTGAGAATATTCATATATGTTGATATACTCTATATTTGTAGCCAGATGATTTTTCAATCTCATTTGTTAGTGCAGGGATCTTTGATGCCTAGATCTAGAACTTCCTGTAAGAGAAACAATGAATTCAATATAGAATGTAGCCATAAACTTTTGGTAGATGATGCTGTACAATAGTTATCTAAAGCATTTACCCATAAAAAAGGTAAAAAAACATTGTTCTTAAGTTACTTTTATTATAAAAATTTAATTCATGTTTCTTTTATGCATTTTGTTATATTTTCTACTTTTAATCTTAAATAACCTCAGACATGAAAATCTTATTTTATTTCTAATGTACTAAGTACAGATTAAAATGTATTACTGTTATCTTATTGTAAATTCATAAAATAAAATAAAAGGACATTGTAGTTATTTACATTTAACAAGTTGAGAGGTAATAGTGCAAGGCATTCTTTATGCTGAGAAAATGCTCAGCATGTTAATTTGATTTTCATAAACTTTTGTCTGTTAGATATTAATGATTCACAATTCTTTATAGAAGATTATATTACTACTAATACTACTAGTTTGTGTAAAAAAATAGTAACATCAAATATGACAGCACTAAGTGATATTAAAATGAAATGGTAGTCAAAAGTTAATGGTTGACAATGTGTTATTTAATAAAAATTAAAGATATTAGTGCCAAGTAATGCTGCTTGTTACTATAACAATGGAATATTTCTTTACTAAGAAGGGGAAATTAGATTGTGTGACTAATAAATATAATCACATTGTCTTTTTATTAGAATAGATTATACTTTAGGCTACTATATTGAGAGAAAAATCACACTTTATTGGATTTTCATTTAAATTGTTTTATGACTTTATTAAGACGATAAATATCAACCGATGCTTCAAATGTTATGATTCACTTTAACATCATTAAAAGACTATATAAAATAATATACCTATTTACTTAGTTTCATCTGACCCATAGCTGTATGGGGGTAATAAGAAATTTGAGTATAGGTTATCTATCCTTGAAAATCGGCATTAGAAATCCTGGCTTCTCACCAGCCACTTGTATCAGCAATAAATATGAAACTCATTCATTAAGCAGATTTATCATTTAACAGTCTGTGTTTATGGTAAAACAAACAATGCTAAAGAAAAGTTGTTTTTCTCAGCATCCATTCTATTCAAATTTATTTGTTAGCAACAGCAGCTTGTAAAATGCTGTCATGTTTATCCTTTTTTTAAGTATGTCAGTTCTGAGGGAAGCAACTATTTAATATTCAATTAATTTTAACAATCATTAGTTAAAAATTAATAGTAAAATTGAAGACTCTTATTAAAGTAATCGGAAGCAAGCAACTAGCAAAATTAATAAGTGGTATATATTCTATCTTAGAAATATTTCATTAAATTTCTATTTATATATTCATTTAAAATGTTTTCTTTTCCCTCTTATAGTTGGTTCCATTTTTCTTGTTACTTGCATGTCTAATTAACAAGTTTTAACTACATAATGTTTTATCTAGTGTATCTTTTGTAATGCTAATAAATCTCTTATTGTGTGTTACTTTTGAATTCTAATCACAAATACAAAACTTTTTTTTCAAAAATTCAGTGGCACATAATCATTAAGTTCATTTTTTTTATGTCAATTATTTCATTTATGGGAAAATTTTTAATGCATGATTTTAAAATTTCCAATATCCTTTTTAGATAAAGCAGAAAGTTTTGCTTGTAAATTCTCTTCAAATTCTACTCTTGACTCATCTAAAGTATCTGACTTTGCACTTAGAACTGAATCTCTATTGAGTGACATTCATATACCTCCTTCCAATGTATCATCTCTAGATCCCCTCAAAGCATGTGGACTTGATGGTATCTCTGCAATAGTTCTTAAGAAACATACTCTTGAACTGGTTCCTATTCTCTCTAAATTCTACAATAAATGCCTTGCTGCGTTTTGCTTTCCTGTTTGTTGGAAATTCTCTTCTATAGTTCCAGTCTTTAAGAACTCCAACAAACCATCTGATCCTTCTATTGGCCTATAAGCATTTTACATCTTTTTAACAAAGTACTTGAGGCTCTAATCAACTCCAAATTGGATATCTGAAAGGCATTTGATGGTTTGGCATACTTGTCTTCTTCAAAAGTTGAAAGGTTATAGTATTTCTGGACAGATTTTTTTTGAACTGATTCAGCCTTTTTTATTGAATGGTGAAATGAAAGTTGTCTTGAATTGCCACTCTTCTAGAACTTCTTGCATTAATGCAATTATCCTCCAGGGCCCTATCCCTGATTCTATGTTGTTCTTGATTTTCATCAACTGTTAATTTCCTGCTGCTATAATTGTACTTCTCTGTGCCTTTTCTATAAATATTTTCATGGTAATTGTCTTGATGTTACCTAAACTTTATGAATTTAAGTACAGAACTAGATTGGCAGCCAGGTCTCATCATTTTACAGCTGAAATGGCTAGGTGTAACCATAAGTTCTATGCTAACAGTTTCCTTTCTTGCACTTCTCACTTGTGGAACTCTCTTCCAGCTTCTTGATTTCCACTTAAGTTTGATCTTCAAAAATTTAAATGCAATATCAATCATTATCTTCTGTCTTTTTAATTCCTGTTTTTTATTGTTCTTAATCCTTAATATTTTTCTTTCCTTATATTCTTTTATGCATAATAACCCTCTGCATCTTAGTGGCTTTGTTGCCTTGCTTGTGGAGGGGATGATTTTAAAAAAAATTTAAAAATCACAAAACTGCCTAATACATGTGTGAAATTTCTTTATATCAATTTTATTTTTTAAATTCTTGTTAACAAACTTTAGTTTATATTTTTTCTAAATCTTAAATTATTGCTGTACATTTAAAAAATTTTGATTGGTTATATGTGTGTAATTATTAACATAAATTTTAATGATTGCAAATGGAAATAATTCTTGGTATTATATTAGCCACTTTGATGATCGCAAAATGTGTTGATGATTAAATGCAGTAATTTCAAAATATTTATTTTTATTCTTTTTCTCTTTTCTAGCAAGATGTATCTAGTGCACCAGAACTAACTCGCACACCTATATCCAGTGTGGATGTTCAACCAATTTATGCTATTCCCCATGACAGCTGTCATCTAAACAATGTCAGCCATAATCCTCATGGTAGTCTAAGAGGCAGTAGAGGAGGCAGTGCTAAGGTCTCTCCCAACAAGATGAGCCTGAATGGTGGCACTGCAGACAGTGGCTACTATAGCAGTGTACCAGTACCCTACTATAAAGGGAACAGACCAGGTAGCAAACCTCCTTTGCCACTAAAAAGAAGCCGGCATAACAACAACAATAACAATAACAACAACAACAACAACAACAATAATAATGGTTACTATAAGAAAGAGAAACGTTCTAATGGCTTCTACAGTTCTAATGATATTTATACTTGCACAAGTTCTTACAGTGAGAGGAGTGGCAAATGTATGTCCACTTTCATAAGAGATGATATTTCGAACGTCAGTGAATGTTCGGAAAGAAGGTTGGTTTACAATCCTTTTTCTATTTTCTTTACATTTGGCAAAAGTTTTGCATGACATAATAATGTAATTATGATAGTAATTAATGTTAATGAGTAATTGATAACCAGTTAAGGAATAAAATCATCCAACATTTGTACCCTCAGCAGATAAACCAAATTTGAATTAATAGAAATTAATAAAAATCATCTCAAAGATTATCCTTGTAAGTTGAACCAGAAATAAATATTTTCTTTATTCCTTTCTATTTGCATTAATATTGAACTAAATATATTTTCCTACCTGTCCTGACAAAATATAGAAAAAAAATGTGTGTGATGTGATACAAAATAGTCAAATGCTTTTAAAGTGATGATAGCATAGAAGGCTTTATAAATATTTGATGCAAGTAATTTATGTTAGCATCAGTGTTCAATCCCTACAAAATTCTCTTAATGGGATGAACTTCAATTCTCTAGAAGCCTGTAAAAACCACTTTAGACCAGTTCTGGAAAAATGGAATCATTAAGCTGTATCAAAAATGGTTGAACAAAATGGCACTTACACGGTTGAATGGATTTGTACAAATATCTAAATAATATCTTTGAAATTCACTTGGAAAAATGTTACACACTTTTGTTCTGACCAAATAAAATGTCAGATATAACAGAACTCTTAAAGTGTGAAGTCACATGAAATGTGTGACTCTGTATAGAAAAGAAATCTATTATGATTGGAAGGACTGGCAGTTAGAAGGCAAAGTGGTTGAAGGTGAATAATCCCAAGTTGATCAAGTAGGTAGTATATAGAGAGGTGTATTCAAGTAGCATGTCTGGAAAACATTTTTTTAAGAATCACAGTATAAAACTATTAAAGGATAGAACATACGTTCAATGAAAGAAATTTACTTTTAACAAAATGTGTATATTTCTGCAATCTTCACTTTTTCTTATTTATAACTTTATACATTTATTCAGCTTTATTTCAGCATGACATTAACTCAGACTTGTAAATGATTTTGATTTCAGTTTCAGTTCTGCTCCTGATGGACTTCCATTTGATATGAAAGATGCCACTGAACCCATTGAAGTATAATGAAATTTCCACCAACCAATCAACCTGCTATACATTCCATGCTATCAATGCAGCCGAAGTACAAACAAAATTTTAATGCTTTTCTTGTTTTATGTTGATCATTTGACTTATTTATCTTAATTATTTTATAATATTTAAATATATAACAATATTTGCAAAGAATTAATCTAAAGTTTTCCTGTCTTAACTTTCTGCTTAGCCTATAAGTGCAGTAACCAAAATCATTTGCTATTTAAATTATATATATAATATTCATGTTTCAGTGAATCACTTAAACATGCTTTGATAAATTGTACTATTTGCTGAAATTCTCAATGATTCACTTCATTTTATTTATACTCACTTAAAAGAAATGGGAGCTATTTTCAGTAATTATATTTTGATATTAGTTAATAGATGTAAAACTGGAGTCTGCCTTCAAAATTTAAAATATCAGTTTTTCAAAAAAATGTAATTTTTGAAAAGACCTTATTTCAATCTTTAAATAGATTGAATAGGTAACTATTAATAGAATTTTAAGATTTTATTTTACTCTTTTATACATATCAAATATAGAATAAAATTATATTTTTAATTTAATTTTTAAAAATTTTAATTTGAGTTACACAATTTTTTTTATTTTCATTTTCATTCTCCTATAGTTAATTCATTTTTTCAGAGGCCAAATATAAGATTTGGACTTTATTGATATTTGAAGAAGCATTTTCGTAGTTATATATTATATTAAATTGAAGTTGAGCCATTACATGTATAATAAACATAGACAAACTAACTCTTGCTGAAGAAATAATATTCAATATATTGTATTTATTCTTGACATAAGAATCACTTATCTGTTATAGTTTTTTTTTTTTTTTTTTTTCCTGTTTATTACTAAACTGAATGTTAATAAAATTAACATTCAAATAATCTTGACATAACTTTTAGTGCATCACAAATGATGGCAGCTTTTTCATTGTTTAATGGTTCTGGTTTTGTAGAAATTCCATCTGGTCTCCAGGGACATAGGAGATTATCCAATCTATAATCTTTGAACCAAGTATGCCTTCTGCTCAATTCATTCACTTTTTTTTTTAATTACTCCTTAATAATCTTATGAAAACACACTTCTGTTGTAAAACCAGTTCACTTATTGAAAATTTATCAAAATTAGTTTTTATTTTAATAGCGGAATATATAATGTAAATATTTAATGAGTTACCTCCCTTATACCAACTTTGATTTGAATGCTCCTGCATTCGTTTCTTATTTGCTAGCATATACGTTTTAATGAAGGTGGCATTAGGAAGAACATTACTGATTTATATTTTATTTGTAATGGTATAATTTGATATTAAAATATACTATCTGAATAAAATAATAATCATTTAAGCATTTTCTAGTGATATTTATATCTTTTTAATAATCCTAATCCTGTTTCTAAATGGATTATGCTGTACTTTTTAGACTCAAATTAGTACAAATATTAATCTTTATATTTAACACTACATTGAATAATTCTATTTTATTCATCTGATTAGTTTTATTTCTTAATAACATTTAATATAAATTTAAAAAAAAATAAATGTACTTTTATTCTTTATTCTACCACTTTGAAATATATCTCCTTTATTTTCTTGTTTCGCCATTTTATTTTTTTATAAGGCTATTTCGTTTTACATTTTTCCTTCTTTTTTTTTCTTTTTTTTTTTTAAAATAAAATCGTCATAAATTATTTTAAAGTTAAGACAGGAGCTTCTTTAACAATAAAAAATGATGGGTTCCTCTCTATTAAAAAGCAGGAAACGAGTGGAAATTTATCAATAATGACTGCTATTAATACTATTGGTTAGTATTTTCCAATTATTTGTCATGATTCATAATTGCTGAGAGCAGACTTTCATGTGAAATGACTAATTGCAAACATTACCATCAGATGGTAACTTGCTTAATATTGAGCACCTTCAATGAAATTGTACATATGTCATTGACGTATTTATTCCTGACTGAGACATTTTTTTTTTTTTTTTTTTTTTTGCTTTTTTCTTTTTCCAGGAAGCAATCTGATTAAAAAATTCTTGACCTTTTTGAATGAAGAAAAATGACCGCAAACATTTTTTGACCATGACTAGATAAGTTTTACATTTTGATATAAGAAAGAAAATAATATGAAATGGCCAACTACCTTCCACTATGATTTTTTTTCCATGTCTGCTATTGGCAGATATTAAGATTTGTTACTTCATGCATCTGTAAAAGCAAGCCCCTTATCATTTTCTTGAGGCAGCCACTTTTTTCCATACAAAGTGACAAAATCAATTAAAGCTCTAGGCTGTTCATTTTAACTTTTTATAAATTAAAAAAATTCCTTGATCGTTTTGATGAAATCACGTTTTTAAGAACTATATCCATTCTCAGAAGACAATTCCATTCCTAGATATTGTGTTGCCATTTTTTTGTTTTTTTTTACACTGAGCATTCAAAACTTCTGTGTCACTTCCACACATTCATTTTTCATATAGTAGAGAAAATATGGAGAAAAAAGTCACAAAACTAAAAAAAAAATTATCTGTTTAAAACTTTAAAATATGGGTCATGTCTTAATTTCACTTATTGTTTCTCTTTCCATGTTTACTTTAGATATACTTAAACATTGCATTAAATATGAATGCATATGTATTTTATTATACACTTGTATATAAACTATCATTGAAATGAGGACAAGGATTTTTTGTTGCTATCTTATATTATTGTATAGTATTTTTTCCTAGTTGCTCCTGCTAAATTATTCTACACTAAAAAAAGACAAAAAACATAATAAACAGTTATGAATTTGTTTGCAGCTGCCTTTATATGCATTTACTTGACTACATTTCAAATCAGCTTACATGAATGCTTGCTTATTTTATGAAATTACAATGAAGGGTGAATATAGCCTAGAAACTTAGAACTAATCATTGATCGTGACCTCTACATATAAGAATGAAATTGACTTCAACATTGTGCCAAATATTAAAAAGAAAGTAATTGTAAAGAACAGTAATATTCAAATGAGATTAAAAAAATATCCATGAGCTATTTTTCCTACTTTCTATTATTAATTTATTTTTTACAGAATAAATTAATTCTCCTAGCAATAATTACCTTAAACAAAGTATTGCATGCTTTAGATGTATTTACTTTGTGCTAAAATTTCATAAATCATAGTCAACTTTTTTATTAAAATAAGCTTGACTAAAGTAAATTTAACAAAAAAACATCAGTTAAATTTCAATACAGTACAAATATTTACAATGTCCTTTTTATCAGAAGCCTCTTTTGTTTTATGAATTTTTTACATGACTAACAAGGATTTTGAAATTTCTGATTTTAAAATGATTTAACACATTATAGTAATAATTTTCTGCACTGTCTGTATTTTTTTTCCTTAAAATTTTAACTTTCGGCACACAAAAAAAAATGATTACCATTCTGTTTTCCTACATCCCCATTAAATTGCCTTTATTATATTAGTTTTATATTTTTAATGAATATATTCTTAAATTTGAGTTGCAGATCACAAACCTTTGAAAAGTTGAAAATAATTAATTTAGACAACTTTGAGGAATGTAATATATTTTGAGTTTATAAATACATGTCTTCTAATTTGACTTCCTGAAGATACATTTATTAGATTGTTCAATAACTGAAATTAGCAAATTGGGTTTAACTGTAATAATTATTGTATTTGAACTTAGAATATTCAGGAAATAGTGTCTGATGCGAATTTCACTTCTCAAGCTTATTTACTAAAGTGAAGAGGATAGAAACTTTGTATTTACATTTAGAGAATAGATCATAATTTTCATGCATGCACGAACATATACCAGATATAAAATCTTTAAAAAAGCAGACTTTTTTATTGACTTAATTTTTTACACTATGTTGAGGAAATCATTGAGCTTTTACTAAATAAAAACAAATTGATCTGGTCTTCCAATGCTTACTAGTTTGAATCATCAATAATTTTGCTTTATATTAAGTAATGTCTCCAGTTTATTTAGAAATACTCATTTGTTCCATATTAATTTGAAAACAAGTTGCTTTTATTTTTGTTACAGATGTTTTATTTTCTTCTATAAATATTATACTTTTAGGTTTCAAATTCACAATGTTAGATGATCTTCTGATCATGTATCAAGGGACTATGTTCCTAACTTAAAAGTAAATTTCTTTTCTTTTTTAACATTTCTAGAAGTGATGTTTTTAAAAGTGCAATCACTGTATATCAGGGGGGATTGATTTGAAAAACTAGCACTAGATAGGATTATTGCCACAGTAAATTTTATGATTTTGGAAGAAAAATATATATATTGCTGATAAACATTGTTTCATTACTTTTCATGTTTTAATGGTCTTAAATATAAAATACTTTTTCATTTACTTTGAAATTAGAATTATTTATATAGCACCTGAAGACCACTCGGGTATCCTACAACTTATAGCATGAATAGCAGAAATAACAGCACAAAAGCAAACATTTCATGTAAATAGAGGCTAAAAAAATGAGCTGGTATAACATTACAAATGCATAGAAAATGGTATGAATGCAATACAAATTAAATATTGGCATTACGCTTGTTAGAAGCAACATGTTTGTATGGTAAATTCTAGCTCATTAATGAGTCAAGTAGATGAAATATTTTGTCTTGTCCTTTTTTTTTTTCTCATTGTCTCTTCCTTCACATTGTATTAAAACCAAATAGCCTACCAATGACATCATCTAATACATCCAGGTTTAATGCATTACAATAACAAACATATATATATTTAAAAACGAAGCAATATTCTTGTGAAAATTCCTTTGCCTAATAGTAATTTTTTAAAATCATTTGCCCACCAATATTAGTCATTATTTTGTGATAAAATCACTTTCTTTGTAAATAAAAAGGGTTTTCTTTCTTTGGTTTTAGGAAATAAAAAAAAAACAAAAATGGCCTTCTGTAAATGAATTAGAAATGATATCAAAATTGCTCTTTATA